CTCCTTCACTAAACCAGTAAGCCATAAAGCTTCTTTTGCAGCTTCAGCCGCTGCCATGTACTCAGCTTCAGTTGTAGATAGAGCCACAATAGATTGAACAATAGACTTCCAACAAATAGGCCCTCCACCAAGAGTAAAGACATACCCTGTCGTAGATCTTCTATTATCCAAGTCACCTGCATAGTCTGAATCCACATATCCTACAACCAAATGATTATCCCGCTGACTCCCAAAAATAATTCCATGTCCCACAGTACCCTTTAAGTACCGAAAGATCCACTTGACTGCTTCCCAATGTTGCTTACCAGGTTTAGACATGTACTTACAAACTTGACTAACAGCATGAGCTAAATCAGGACGAGTACATACCATCGCATACATCAAGCAGCCAACAGCATTAGAATACGGAACCTTTGCCATATCTTCAGCTTCCTTATCTGTCTTGGGGCACTGTTCTGATGAGAGCTTAAAGTGATTCGCCAATGGAGTGCTAACTGGTTTTGCGCTGCTCATCGCAAACCTTTCTAGCATTTTCTCAACATAACCCCGTTGAGATAGCCGCAGTTTCCTTGAGTCTCTGTCCCTGCAAATTTCCATTCCAAGAATTTTCTTTGCAGCACCTAAATCTTTCATATCAAATTCCTGACTCAATAAAGTTTTCAAACCGATAACATCATCCATGTTCTTCGCAGCAATCAACATATCATCAACATACAGTAATAGAAAAATAAAAGAACCATCATCAAGGCTCTTAACATAGACACAACAATCATACTCACATCGGTTGTAGCCAATCTTGATCATATAGGAGTCAAACCGTTTATACCACTGTCTCGGAGACTGTTTCAACCCGTACAAAGATTTCTTCAATCTGCAAACTAAATGCTCATTTCCAGGTTGAGTGAAACCTTCAGGTTTCCGCATGTAGATCTGCTCCTCTAAATCACCATGCAAAAAAGCAGTTTTAACATCCATATGCTCTAAATACAAATCCCAACTAGCCACCAATGCAAGTACTGCTCGGATTGAAGTGTGCCTGACCACAGGAGAAAAGATTTCATCATAATCAACTCCTTTCTGCTGTGAAAAACCCTTCGCTACCAAACGAGCCTTGAACTTCTCCCCCTCTTTTTCTGTTACTACTGGTTTCTTCTTATACACCCATTTGCAACCAATCGGCTTCTTACCCTCAGGAAGGGGAACTAACTCCCATGTGCGATTGTGATTCAAAGACTCCATCTCCTCAACCATGGCTGCCATCCACTTGTCGTTTTCCTGACTAGTAACGGCATCATGAAAAGTAACCGGATCATCACTGCTAACAATAAGTGCAAAAGATACCAAGTCTTCAAAACCCAATCTGTTTGGAGGCTTTATATTCGTCCGTCTCACCCTGTCTCTGGCGAGACTATAATCCTGCAAATCATCCGTAGTGGAACCACCAGAAGTCGGTTGAGAAGTTTCTGGTTACTCAACTGGAAACTGCTCGAAATCCACCACTGTCGTGTCTTGCTTCTACTGCAACATGGATTGTTCATCAAAAACGACATCTCTACTAATCACAACTTTCTTCGCAACTGGATCCCAGAACTTGAATCCTTTGACACCTTTCTTGTAACCCAGAAAAATGCACTCCTTCGATTTTGCATCAAGTTTGGATCTCTCATCAGCAGGTACATGCACATAAGCAGGACAACCAAAAATCCGTAAGTTATCAAAACTAACATCATGACCAGTCCATACCTCTTCTGCAACTTTCCCAGTCAACGATGCCCTTGGCGATCTGTTGATAAGGTAACACGCCATGTTAACAGCCTCAGCCCAGAAGTGTTTGGGAAGCCCCGCATTCAACCGCAAACATCTGGCTCTTTCATTCAACGACCTGTTCATTCGTTCCGCAACACCATTCTGTTGTGGTGTCTTGCGCACTGTAAAATGCCTTTGAATCCCATGCTCCTTACAGAATTGTAGGAACTGTGAATCTGTGTACTCCGTACCATTGTCAGACCGCAAACACTTGATTTTTCGTCCTGTTTGGTTTTCTACCTCAGCTTTCCACAGCTTGAACTTCTCAAAAACTTCAGATTTCTGTTTCAAAAAATACACCCAAACTTTCCGTGAAAAATCATCAATAAAAGTAACATAGTACCTAGATCCACCCAAAGACGATGTCGTGGAAGGCCCCCATACATCAGAATGCACATAATCAAGAATCCCTTGAGTTGTGTGCTTCGCAGTCTTGAAACGGACTTTAGTCTGTTTACCAAGAACACAATACTTGCAAAAGTCGAGCTTACAGCTTTTGACACCATGCAACAAGTTTCTCTTGTGTAATTCTGCCATACCACGTTCACTAAGATGAGCAAGGCGCATATGCCACAATTTTGTCGTATCATCACAGGACTCAACAGAGTGAACTCCACCTGCAACGGTACTCCCTAACAATCTGTAGATATTCCCTGCAGTCATCTTGCCTTTCATCACAGTCAATGCTCCTTTAACAATCCGAATGGTTTCCCTATCCTCGTCAGCCTTAGGGATAAAACCATTCTTGTGCAAAGTGCCCAAGGAAATCAAATTCTTCTTCAAGTCTGGGATATGTCGAACACCACTCAACGTCCGAACGGAGCCATCGTGCATCTTAATTCTGGCATCACCAATACCAACAATATTGCAACATCGATCATCACCCAAATAAACCGAACCAGAATTAACCGGCCTGTATGTCGAAAACCATTCCCTATTTGGCGTGATGTGATAAGAACATCCAGAATCAAGAATTCAAGCATCCGTCAATTGTGTCGTTGAAATAGAAAGCATATCACCCTCACTGCAATCAGAATTATCATCCTCGACCACGTTCACAGACTTGGATGAGCCATCACGCTTCTCATCAGTCTGCTTTTTCAACTTCGGACAGTCTCGCTTCATATGTCCCGTCTCCTTGCACTTGTAACAGTGAATCGTCTTCTTATCCCTGGATTAGAAAGTCTTGTTGTGGGGTTACAAATTATGTGGGTTGGGTGTGCGGGGGCGAAGCCCCTGCGGTACGGTACAGGGTTGATTTTGTAATTATGTACCAGGGTTTTCTATTATAAATAGAGATGTAACCTAGACCTAAAATATCATTGAATAAAATTCTAGCGCCGCCTAGGCACCGAGGACGTAAGCACATTGCCGAACCTCGTAAAATTCTCGTGTTCTTTTGTTTTCTTTACCCGTTTTCGTCAACATTCATGAACATTAAGGGGTTCCATGTCAGCATAACTAGCCACATACAATTTAGGCTTAAATACACCACACTTACTCCTCGTCATCATTGAATGGCGGTTAACCACACTAACACCATTGCCATCACTCGAGGAGGTAGCATTGTCAACAAGATCAGCTACTGCCACAAGATGCCTCAGATCTGCTGACTCAACAACTTCAGCTGTGGCACCTCCTATATGCACATCTTCACGAGCAGCAGTTTCGAGTGAAGACTCACCATGATCAGATAAATCCTGATCCACATGACCAGAATTTCCATGCATAACATCTTCATTTGCACCAATCATTTCTTGTGGAACTATTTCAGACAATCCAGCCATATCCTTATCAGCAGAATCTGTTCCTAGACTCGACCCAACTGTGTTACCACTCAATTGTTTCATGTCAGCAACAATTTCAAGTTCAGTAGATTTTCATTTGTTGACTTGACTCATGTTACTCGACTCTCCAATGCCTGCAAATGGAAAAGTAAACTCATCAAAGACAACATGTCTGGAAATATATATGCGTCCACTAGTTGCTAGACACATATAGCCTTTGTGTTGAGGGCTATAGCCAAGGAACGTGCAAGGCTGTGAACGGAACTCGAGCTTTGTGGTGCGGCGATTGAATCTACTTCACATGTGCTCTGAGAGTGTACTCTGGCCCGAGCAACTTGGCAGCAGTTGGTTCATCCTTCCCGGATGGAGGCAAAATTATTTTGTTACTGACTCGACAGATTAAGATCTACTGTTTGGATCGGTGATCTGGTGTCTTTGGAGTTGTCGTAATCGTCTTTTAATTGATGAGAGTTTCTTTGCTGATGATACTGTCTTACACCAGAGTAAACGACTACAAAATGAAGCGATGCAAGATGTTCGAACTCGCTCTTATATTCAAGCGGGTTACATTGCTACTGTTCAGCGGGGATTACCTCGGTCTTTGCCGCCCATAAATTGGGTTAAACTTAATACTGATGGAGGGCATAGATCTGACACGAGCTTAGCGGCTTGCAGAGGTATTCTAAGGGACCATATGAATGGTTGGATCATGGGTTTTGCCAAAGCCATTGGTGTTTGTTCAGTGCTTGATGCAGAGCTTTGGGGCATATTCGAAGGTTTATCATTGGCTTGGAGTTTGGGTTCCGCTCGATCGTGGTCGAAACGGATAGTAGGGAAGCTTTATCAGCTATTGGTTTTGGCTCTGATAGGAGAGTAAGTTCAAGCTCCTCGATGTTTCCATACATTCAACAGCTTCTTGTTAGGAACTGGAATTTGGAAATTGTCTTTGCACCACGGAAGAACAATAGAGTTCAGATGCTTTAGTTCGGATGGCTTGGACACGACTATTTGTGACACATTTCTTTCAAACAATTCCGAAGGAGACAATCTTCTTGAAAGACGCTTGCTGTGAAGTGAATTACAACACTGCTATCTAGCTCTTGTCTTTTATCTTTTCTTATTAAAAGAAATTGTTTGCACTGAATTACTGGTGTGTTTGCTCAAAGTACAAAATCCAACTTCCTTGTATCCTGTCCAAACTGGACATCAAAACAAAGCTTTTTGAGATAATTTAGTGACTTTTTTTAATTTTATCTTAATTTTTAATTATATTTAAATTCTATACGTTGCATTCAACAAGGACACAAGAAAGTCAATTCCTTTGTTTAACATGAAACGAAATTCACCACTTATACCTAATAATAAAGGAAAATTAAGACAATCAAAATGTATACAAACAATCAACAATTTTATTCCTAATGTTCAAACCCTTTGTTTATTATACTAAATGTAGTTGGCCTCTCCCAAATGATTTGCCAATTTTATTACTGCAGATCATAGCACTGTGTATCTTCCGTTTGTTATATTATGATTTTAAAAGCGTGGCCAAGGAACAACAACCATCTTCATCTGCCCATCTTTGCAGTCATTGGCTTCACCAGAAGCAAAGTAGAAAACCCTCCACTGGTTCAACACAAATCGGAAGCCATCACCTTCCCCTTGTGTCGTATTGGCCAAAAGCTTTGCTTTACCGAAATCGCATTGCAAGTAACTCCACAAGTTTGGCATCATGTAAACGCTGTGAGTTGTTGTGTTATCATATTTGAACACTGCAAAGCTCAAACAAATTGGTATACTAAACATCAGCATCATTGAAAAAAGAACCAAAAGGAACTCAATGTATATGGTTAGGGTTGAAATGAAGTACCTAAGGTGTCATGGAAGTAGAAGGGTGCGGTGTTGGCCGCCCATTCGGTGTAGTTGTAGCCGTAGCGCCAGTTCTCGGAGCCTCCGACGACGACCGTTGTGGCTTGAGTGAATGTCGAAAGAGAGGTGACTACCGCGACCAAGAGGATGATTTGTTCAGCATTGAAACCGGAAGAAGCCATCTCTCAAGTTTCTTTAGTTGCTTGGTAATTGAAGTGATGGCAATGGGAGGAGGAGTTAATAGCTTAAATAGGAAAGACATGGCATTTTCTTCATTGGTATTGTTCTCTAGAATCACATATTCTTTTCCCATTAGCTAAATTACCTTAATATCACAGCAACATATTGGTCATCGGAGAGAAGGGTGTGAATTGTCATTTAATAGGGTTGAAGAACGACATTTGGTCATCAAAAGTTGGGTGGAAACCCAATGGGTAGAAGAAAAGGGTTTGGATATGATTAGGTAATGGTTATTAAGGTCATCCAAATACAACTTGTGCGTTAGTTAAATGAGCACATGACGTTGATTGTGTTGTACGATTACTTGCTTAATCGAAATGCAAATGAATGTTTTGTTGATCAAGGTCCCCCCTTCAACTGCCACTCGCTGACCATGTTTGACGTCCGGCAAATGGGGGGATTTTCCTCTTTCTGGTATTGAACTTTTACCTTGTGTATGAGGGTTGATCCATGATATTTTATTGTGGAGCAATGAATAAAGATGCTAGCATTTATCCTTAGAAAATGTAAATGATGCAAAACCTTTCTAATGATATCTTAGTTCGCCTTTTCTCCTCCCAAAAGGCAACACCAATCAATCTTTATATACTTTTTGACCGACAGGACAAAGGAAAAAACAAACAGTTCAATGGAGGATGATGGATGTAAGAACTAGTGTGTCTGACATTCCAACAATTTAAGGGTTTCTTGCCATAGCAATGACAGCTTATGGACTAGAAAACCCACACCAGAACCATCTCCAATTGATTTTGCACCTCATACTAATTACTAAACTAGCAATGCCAACAAAAAAGTCGACAAAAGTCTGGCAAAAAACACAAGTTACACATGTAAAATCACTCGACAGCCAGATAATGTTGTTATATGCAAAGAACCCAAGTTCAATAATCAACATCAGGTGGTGGAGCTTTGAGAGGAATGATCTTCTTGCTGTGGTTGGCGTTCAATTGGTGTTAAAATAGAAGTAGCTGAAGAAGAACTAGACCTTGGTGGTGGCTGGGGAGGATATACCCTGTCATCAATGCAAGAAGAACACTTTGTTTCGATCCAGTTTTCCAAGTCGAACTGGCCAATGCCTATGACTTTTCGACAGGTGCACAGTCTTCTGATAATGCCAGCCACAATGGCTAAGATTACGATCACCAAAAGTACAGCTATAAGAGGAGCAATAGAAGCATGATGAGCAGCGTGAGAGTTATAATATGGCTCCTCCGTTACAGCCACCACTGGTGGTGGCTGCTGGACTATCGACATTTCAGCACTGACCCAGAACCAGAAAAAAGGACTAAGGACTCGGTTTTCAACTCAAGTCTTGAAAATGGTTTGAGGTAGTAAAGAAAAACAAGAGGTTACACATATGTAACGTGTGTTGCAATGCACAAGGGATAAGAAATTGGGCAATGGAACAATGTGTGGAACCTCATCTTCATCTGAGAAAAAGATAGAAGAGACTTAAAAAAATAGAGATTCTCTTTGTAATTGTGAGAACATACAGAAACAGTTGTAACCGGTCACTTAGAAAACTTAAATATCATGACTTTCTCAATGTTTATTTTTCTCAAGTTCAGTTTTAATTTTTAAAATTTTGAAAGATTTTGCAGACTCAAGTGGGGACCTCAATCTCACAGGTATCATGGTAGCTGAGCTCTGTTGGAAAACCAGTGACAATGGAGTCAAAGATCTTATAATGACAACTACTCATATTTATAACCTTTACCTCTTCCATATACATTTCACCAACCCTTGTTCATAGTAATGCCAAGCTCAAATCAAACTTCACGGCTATTTGCAGAATTTCTTACCCATTTTTCGTTTTGAGTTAAACATGAAATGAACATTAAATGGGTCTGGTCATTGGTTGTCAATTAAGTTGCTTAAAACTGCACAAACATTTTCCAAATAAACGACAACTGCCTTCTGCATGTTCAAATCATCACTGATACGGTAAGAACCACATGCACATATCATCACTGATACGGTAAGAACCACATGCACATTACCCACTGAATCATGTGGGATAGTTCATGTACACGTCCCCAAACTATGGTTAATGTTTTGAGTTAACCCCCAGACAAAGCAGAAATGATCAATGTGAACCTCTAATCCCAGGAGTTGATTTGTAAGTTGGAAGACAATAGTGTTTTCTTTTTCCAATACCAAATTAACTTTAAGATGTTTCTGTCTGATCAACACATGCCGCATGCATATAAACATGAAATATGTCCGAATTGTACCTAATATACAAACACTGTTAGAGAAACCTGGAGGGGATATATTCGTTTATTCTCAGCGGATAGCTATAGAACTCCTCGGTTCGAGAATCTCCTTTTCTGTGCTGGAACGGTTTCCACCATGGAATTCCTCTATCGTTCACATGCTTTGCTTCTAATGTGTTATCGAGCACGGTCCCAACGATGATGGCCATAGTTGCAGGTGATGAGAAGATCGTGTTCAATATATCGTTAAACTACATGCATTCGAATGTGTCAGACCGATGAAGCAAAGATCAAAATCAGGTAAACTAAAGGAAATGGACCAGCATTTTTTAACATTTACCGTAACGAATTACAGTAAAAGACCCTTCAACTAGGAATCTATGGCATTTTAACTAAGCCAGTAAATATTATGCAGGCAGTATTGTATATCTTAACAAGCAATCACATTATGAACTTACCCATCCAGCATTTGTTCTAACTGGTCCGTGACCGTCGCCGGTTGTGTTCATTACAAAATATTGAGGAATTGATAGCCCAAGGAATAGGGAGACGCCCAAAACATAGATGTTTCTCATGGAATTATTATTTGCAAACTGTATGAATGTGATCCCAGAAGAGGCTGCATCGAGAGGAAAGAAAGGAGAGCGAAATTCCCGATTAAAGAAGCAATAGAATGTGATATGCAAACACTATCACGACAACTGAGTCACTCACCAACAATGCCCAATAAAATACAGTATATGGCAGCAAATATTGGCAATGGAATAGAGGCAAAAAATGCACCAAATTTCCCTGAAAAAATGTAAGGCGACCCAATCAAGTCCGAACATAAAAAATATAGAAAAAAAAATCAATACAACTATGAGAAAGTATAAAAACAAACCAAATATGGAGAAAAATATCATGAAACCGGTAGAAATCTGCACCACCCTTCTGCTTCCTATATGTGTAAGTCCGAGAAGGCCAACATTTTCACTGCATTATCATTCAGATGAAAAGTTGAAATAAATTTCTCAAGTATACAGCTGTCTCTCAGTTACGGCATTTTATGGTTAATAACTACTCAAAAAAGAAGGGGACTTCTTCAAAAAGCCGTTCTGCCTTACACAGATGCAGTAGTACCAACGAGAGAACCAAAAAGCCCTTCGAGCAACATACCAATGCCCTGCATTTACAAGCAAGATGAGCAAGTAATCTTAATGACAAAATAATATCACGGGATTCGGGATAATGTCTATCGATTTAGTAAAAGTAATGACAAAAAAGTTACACAAAAAAAAAAGATCCACGGTAGCTTAGGAAAGGACCTGTAAGCCAATACTTCTGCTTAGTACATGTGCAGGAGGGGGTGTTGCACCAGAAAGCCGTGCTGCAGCAAAAAAGGTTGCAGTTGACTGCATATAAAATAGAGGAAAGTTCAGTTTCCAACTTATTTCTGTAATTCACCAAGAAAATGCATAGAAGAGCAGACTAATGCTTGAAATTAGATCAAGTGAACCAAAGAATTAAACTTGGAAAGTAAATTAACTAAATAGAATTGACATTGTCCAAGATAGCAACTCGACCTCTGCAGACGAAACAAGTGCAGCACCTATCATTCCAAAGACATGGCTAGCTCTGAATATAGGGGTACCCCACTGAAACGGGTAAGGAATTTTGATCCTAGAAACAATGACATGGAATAAGGAATCATAAAGAGCACTTTTGGAAGATCAGTTAGAACTAAATTGAACAAGCAGCGCAGCACATTATAACCATACCATGGAGCAGAAGACATTAGGTAAGATCGATCCGTACGGCAACTCAGTTTAGTGGCAGTCTTAACATTGTTGTAAGCGCCAGAGACGGTGAGGATGGCAGCAAAAGCCCAAATAATTCCAATGCACAAAAGCAATGCAAATCGCTCAAGTATCAGATGGGCCCTCGAATGGACCCGCTTCAGGTACTGCAGCAAACAAGTTCTTTCGTCAAATTAACGAAGAAAAATGTTAGAACAAAATGAGGTTCTTATCATAGTGGCTTATATACCTGTTGAGAAATAACCAGTAAAATGAGCATAGGTAGGCCAATTTCCACACAATTGCCGAGCTGTATCATTAAGTTATTTGCATTAAAAGAGTGGCTTACATCAGCATATTACCGGTCCTAATCAAACATTGAAGTATTCAAAGAGAATTACCAATGGGAAGCCTCTTGCAAACAGACCAAGGCCAACGAGACAAACCACTGGTACCATGACTATGGGAGTTAAGAATCTAGAGAGGAAGAGGATAACACGAAAACTCTAAGAAAAGTTAGCTGTGAGAACTTGAAAGTTCACTGATCAAACATCTCAAACCATAAATGGCAAGCAGGCAATGAGCTGCATGCAATAAATAAGACAGATGCACAAATTGATACTAGAAATACCTTGTCAGCTCCCCCCATGCCCTGCCATACCCAAGGATGATGTTAACAAAGGAAGAAACAATTAACGAGCCTTGAACAGTTCTTATACCACGAATAAACCGCTGCAAGCAAGCACCCGAATCATCAATTACATCATAACCAATAAAACATAACAGCAACATTTATATCACATCTACCAACTGAGAGATGAATATTCCCAAAACTTAAATACAATGCAAAGAACTTTATGATTCATTAACTTCCTATTCGTATCGCTTATATCATACTAAAGTTTACACACATCATGCTCAGTTGTGAAGGCCTCATCGGTGTAATCATTAATGATCGACAACAATGGCAACACATATGCAAACGATACACCCATCACCGTTGGAAGCCTCGAGCCAATAAGCGTTTGAAGGAGCGTATTAATGCCTGACATAAACAGTAACACTTGAATAACCCGGGCTTTATCACCCTGTTCATGGCAAAGAAAGGGTTGAGACTTGAGATGCTAAAATTCATCAATCCCATAAAAAATCGTATTGAAATTATTTATAAAGTCATATAAACATACATGATTCCCACCCATCCGAGGTACCATAGTACTTGCAATTAAGATTGTAGTACCAAGATTCACAATGAAGTGTTGGAAAGCCAGTAAAAGCGCTTGAGCTGTTCAACAAGTTGATATTTTGTGAGATTTATTGCAAAAGATAACAATCCTCAGAATGGTTGAATTTAAGCCAATATTCAGCTACTAAAAACAAACAACAGATTTCACCCTAGCTTAGTTGAAAAGGAGAATTGAAATGTGCCAAAAAAGAAAAAGAAAAAGGAAGTGAAATGTTTTCTAAAGAAAATAAATAAAAAATTCAAAAGTGACTTAAAACTTTTAAAAAATGAAAAATCTTAAAAGAGATCTCATTGATTGTCTAACTTCACCATCGAAGAACAAACATGAAAAAGAAAAGAAAAACACTGGATATACCAACTAAAAAAGCAAGCAACTTCAACATAAAATCTTCAACTTTGGTCAGTTTCATATAAAATTAAAAAGGGGGGGGGGGAATACTGACGCCATGAAGGATTGGAGTGGATGCAGTATTGAAGCTGATTGAGTTGCTCAGCTGGTCCAGGTAGGCCCCCTGGAAAGAGCAAAGTTCGGAGGTGCAGCCGGTGGTGCAACCACTTGCGGTGGCGGCGGGTGGTGGTGTTGGTGATTCTCTGTTTCACCCATCCTTTTCTCGGCTTCTAGTAAATACCCTTTTCAGCGATGCTTACTGTAATCTTCTTTTTGTTCGTCTTCACTCGAAACAGAAAGCTAATAGACTTTCCGGATTCCTAACCAAAAAGAAAAAGGTAATAAACGGTTTCGAAGTTTTCCCAGGACAGAATAAATCACCGACACCAAAAGAAAGAAAAGAAATAAACGAATAAGAGACAGAAATTAATAAAGGAAATACCTTTTGGTGATGAAAAACAATTAAACAGCACAAAGTTCAGTCAGCTCGCTTATCTTTTAATTTGAAATATAGAGATAGGAGAGCATGGTTGGAGGACGAAGGAGAAGCTAAAAGCGAGTTTGGATTACGCTATGCTAATGATTTGTCGTATTTCGTAGAGAATATAATACACAGGCTTTATGAACAAATTAAGTAATCATTTTTTTATAATTTAAATTGATTTGTATATTTAATTTTAACGAATGAATCTTTTAATAATTTTTTTTAAATATATAAATATTTTAATATAAAATTTTAATTAAATAATATTAAATTATTTATCATTTGAATCAAATTGTTAAATAATTTTTTTTGATTAAACAAGGGACGTGGAAACTGGGAACGAGGGAAGCGCGTGGGATTTACCTTCACTTTTCTTACATTCTCGATGTTCGGGAATGCTGTTTTGTGGAATATAGCTTTCTTTTTCGCTGAAAATAACGTTTGTGCCATGCGATGCTGTTGAATTTTGGCGTCAGCAAATTTCATTTTTTTTTTGCTGGAGAAATGTTTTTTTTATAAATATATAAAATTGATTAGTCAATAAAATAATTCAATGAGCATAGAAGATAAAGATTAAATCTTTAAGGTATCTTTAAAGAAAAGTTGAGAAAGTAGAAAAAGGGACCATGGATTTATTTGGATTACAGTCAAACCTTTGAATATGAATTCTTTTTGGAGATTGAAAACGTTAAAAAATATTAGGATAAACAATATGTATGACCACTGAACTATTGTCCCTTTCATTTTGACCATCGATTTTAAAATTTTATCAATCAAATTATCTTATTATTTAAATGACGTCCATCAAATCATCTTTGTAACACTCCCGACCCGTATCCGACCTGGATACGAATATAAGATGTCACATTGATTTTCAAACGCTTTAACTCTTTTAAAATGTGACTAAAACTTGACAAAGAAAACAAAACTATAGTTAAAATACATATCAAAGCATCTATACTTTAAACATTTATGATACATGCCAACAAAAATTCCAATAACAAAATCACATACGATTCAAATTTCTCTAATCTGATACTCTTCAAAGATATGTTGTCCTGCCCTTGCTTACTCTGTTTACTCCTCTGAATCTACGTGTGAAAACACTCACGCGTTAAGTTTTTTACTTAGTGAGGCATAATGAGTAATATAAAATTCTTCACTCAAGCTAAATGTTTGATCTCAATCGATATTGAACTCCTCACTTTCGAGTCTATTTCATATTTTGAAGTTCACTCAACTACTTTGGGTAGTGATACCAGGCCTTAGATATGGATACCCAATCTTCTATATGAATATTGATTCATCTGGTATAGATACCAACTTATTTGATATGGATATTAGTTAATTCTGTATGACTATTAGTTCATCTGATATCGATACCAACCATCTGATATTGATACCAAGCCTCTAATAATGATACAACAATCATCGATATCGATATAAAGGAACCAATGTCGATACCAGTTCATTAATATTGATATTGTGGCCCAGAAATACACTGTTTTGCTTAGAAAACACCCCAATCTCACTCTAAACATTTGTTTTAAGGTCTAGTTTAATTATTAAATCTTATGAAAGTCATTAGGGGTCATCATACATCATTTTTACACTAAACTAACATCCAAAATGTCTATAACAACAAATCAAATACCTAAGCCCCGTATGTTTTTCTACGCATACAAGTAAGTCATGCTAGATTATACGCATTACAAGTAGTAAGGAAGAGTTATAGTGTGTTACCTTAGCTCCTAGTTACCTAAAAAATCTCTTGTTCCTCTAAGAACCACACTTTCAATCCCTTCCTAAACAACGATTATAACACATGAAAATCGAATAGAAACCATGGGAGGAGCCCTTGGATTTTTTAAACACTCCCAAACCCCTAAATGAGCTCATAGCCACCATTGAAGAAGATGGTGAGCTCATCTTAGAGGTTATGATCCAAGGATCGTGAATCTTACCTTAGATTTTTGGATGGATTTAGAAGAAGAAAAAAGATGAAGCCTTTCATCCATGTTCTCTAATTAGGAGAAGAAAGAAAAAAGATAAGAAAAGAAAGTTTTGGGAAGAGGAGAGAAGAAAATATGGTCTTCCCCTTGTCTAAAAAGGTCAGACTCATCAGTTAAAAATCCTCTAAAATTAGCTATTATTTTCCCTTATCTAAAAAGGTCACACTCATCAGCTAATTTCTCGTCCGATTAAACACAAACTTGAACCTATGAATCTTCATGCTATAATAAACTTATTACATAAAGTATTGGATCATCACTAAACTACTAGCATAGTATTCAGGGCATTACAATAATCATTAATACAAAAAATTAATCACTTAAGATCACACAATGATCATAAAAGGAAAATATTTAAAACTTTATCAAATAAACTCGAACAAAAGGTAGATATGAACATGTCTGATTGCATTGACAAACGAACCACAAAAAGAGATCAAACTATTGAAAGAATATTAATAAACTGCAAATCAAAGTCAAGTGACGTGAGAAAATTATCCGTGAACGCACGTCGGGTATCCAAATCCAACTCGATGGTCCAAAGTAGGGAATATCAACATAGTAACAAATAAGTGATACCTTAATTAGTCATTGCAATGTCAATTCAACCCTGAAAAAAAAAAGGATAAACGAAAAATGACGTTCAAATGACTAAAAATATGCTAAAAGACAAAGAAAATTGTACTATAAAGATAAAGAAAAACATGTCGAGTTATTAAAAAAATAAAAATAAAGATGCTATATAAGAAAATAAAAAAAATATCAACAATTACAAACACCAAGATTGATGTCGTAAACTATCAACCAAATATGAAAAAAGTTATCTGGTTTTTAGGGTCTAATTTTTTTCGACGATTTCTAAAGTTAAAAAAATAGTAATAAAGAAACTCACTTAAATCATAGGTTCATAAGGTGATTAAATAATAGTTATGAAATATTCAAAGAACCTATATGAAATAACAACAACAAAAATCGAAATAGCAAAAGTATTAAAATGTAGCATAAACATGTCTTAAAAACATAAACATAAAGCATACTAAGATACGAACGTGCATGAATTTATGAATATGAAGATGACAATGAAAAGAGAAATAGAATCTTTTCAAGTTGATGTTGGATCACTATAGCCACCTCTCTCAACAGCTCGTATTAATTTATAGAAATTTAAATTCGCACATTTAGCTTAAAAATATAATACTTTCCTATTTAATAATAAAAACTCCATAAGGAGTTTCTGCCGTGCAATCTAGTCCCATGGTGTAAACTTATGTTGTCAAATCAAAAGTTTTCTTTTTAGCCAAAACAGTATTAAGAGACAAAGCACCGACTAACATATCGAATCAAACCCCCACTGATGCCACCCTTTTAACTTTCTCAATAATTGCACCCCGTTCTCCTTTATAGGCAAAAGCCTTTCCAATATGAACACAAAACCTTGTAGCTCCAACACCAACTTATGGGGTCTCATCAACATTCTTATTTTCAACCCATTCATTCATGATTTGCTGTCCTATTTCAACAAAACATAGTTTAATTAATTTGTTACCGTACATATGCTTAACACCCGATTGGATTTTAATTAGTCTACTTCTGGAAATCCCATATGGATCCTAAGAGATCAAATTCCAAAACTTTGAATTTCTTTTATTTTCTCACATTTGGGATAGGGTTGATTTGCAGTTTTAGAGCAAGTCAGATTTGGGATTTCAGCGAGCAAAGGACAATTGCCTTGTTTTTGACAATCAAGTCTGGGGTAACCTTCTCTTTCAGCCATCGAGCTACTTAAAATAAACATAAGAAACTGAAACCGAAATTCCTATATTGTTCAAAACCATGAGGAGCTCATTCTGTATATATGCAGTTTACATAGCCGCTGATAAAGATTGTTGATGTAAACTTGTTGTGCAGAAAGAGGAATGAGGTTCACAACATAATTTGCAAGAGTAAAAGTATCAGGAGGAGATCGAAAAGGTGCTTGCAATTAAGCCGAGTTTGACAGTGCAACCAGGGATGGAACTAGGGTGCGACTGGGGCAATCGCTCTTATTTTATAAGTTCAAGTTTGTCTCATAGAATTTTAAAACTTCAAGTTCATCCCATCTAACATAAAACCTTATTTTCCTCCCTAAGTGGACCACTAGAGTTAGTCTCGAGAATGAAGGTGGTGAACATTTTACACTCGTCTACAAATGCTATTTTCATCACGTCAAACATTTAGTGTCAAATTAATATTTTATCTAAAGTTCATAAATCAAATCAAAATTAACCTTTTTTTACTGATATATCCATCATCAAGCTAACATTAGCCATTAATGACTTCGTGACCGATATAAGACAGATTGAAAACAAAAGTGATCACAATATAACTTATTCAAAATCGATGACTAAAATAAAACAGACCAAAAATGAAAATGACAATCCATGTAGATTACCCAAAATAATAATAAAACTTTACGCTTTAAGCAAGCTGATGTGAAAATGAATATCGGAGATAACTAATTCGGCTAACCTATAACATAATGGGCATTTTATATCTTAGAGCAGAGAAAAAAATGGTTGTGAACTCAAATGAAGCTATTCTTAACCTGTAGCAATTGAAGAGTTGTTCAACCCAAATGATGAACATAAAGAATTCAGGTGATGCTACAACAGACTTAAAAGCTAGTTCAGTCAAGCTTTTGAATTATAAGAATGGTTTTTATTCAATCATACCTGTGATTTTGAATCATTCTGTATTTCCTTCCCTCTAACTAAGAATTGCAGTGTAAATATAAACGCAATCTGACGAAATTTGTCTGCTATCATTAAAAGCTGTGATGATTAGCAAAGCTAACAATCACTCAATTTTGTATTATTATTATGTTGCAAGCACTAGAAATCAGAACAATAACGTGATTTTCCACAATTACCTGCGAGTTTCATAGGAAAATGAAGTTCAAACAATGAAAATGCAGAGCAAGAACAACCAAAAGCAAGTTTCATTTTAATACAAGTTCAGATTCAGAGATCTTAAGCATGGTTGACGAATACCAACTTTCCCTTTTAACTTTGAACACTACATTTGCTGATAAGAAGAGTTGATAATCTAGTCAATGTGGCCCTCCAACTTCCCTACCTCCAGCCATCAAATTTGACAGCACAATCCACCTTCTTCATGTTAAACAATCTTCTACGTTTTTTCTATCAACCTTAAGACCTCCGGTTCTTCGCTTTAAATTTTTTTGGTAAGGGCAGCCCACTTTCAAGCATGAAATAAGAACAATGATGTAAGCAACGGAATGGGGATAACAAAGCTTCGGGTAACAGAGATTGATCAAATTGTCTTTTCTTGATTCTGCCAAATCTATCCATTCTAAACCACATCCAGATAAATGGGTGGTCGAAGACGCTCAATATGAGCCAACTAAATAAATGTGAGCCTTAAAGCTATTGTATATCTCAAGAAACTGTTACAGCGTCCTTCCCCTCATGTGCATCATGTATGATATCTGAAACTTTGGACGGAGGCCAATAGCGAAATACGGACCTCCCAATAATGTTATCGATGGGAAGTGGACCCCTGTGGAAGATGATATTTGAAAACAAGAAATTATAATCCTAAACCAATCATAGATTCTTTCATGAGCTACAAAAACATGAAGCATATCTTGTTCCTCAACTCATCAAATCCATTCCCAAACTAAATGGTTATTAGTGGTAATGGAATTTAGGAATTACCAGTTATGGGAATCAAAACTGTTATTACGATTATCCCCCAACACGAAAACATAACCTTCGGGCACAACCTGCAGAAGCCACTCAAAAGAAATTACAACCACTGTTTTACCAAAGCCATCAACTCAAAGAACATGTAACAAGCATGATGAAGAACCAGAGCAACACACAGATACGAATAATGTTCAACATACAAACAAAAAATCGATAGTCGAAAGTGGGAAACTAACCAATGGCTCCATTTCATAAGCCAATGGTTCTAGAACAAAATCTTCATCTTGTGCAACCCCATTTATCAACAGTTTCCCAGCACGTACCTGCCAGAAATTATGAACGATTACAAATTTTAAAGACGAGGCCCCAAGGGAAAAATCATAAATGGGAAAAGTGAAATAAACAATGAAGACGGACATGAACAAAGACCTTATATGTATATCGATAATGAATTTCAAAATTTTAAGGGCTTACTTCAACAGAGTCTCCAGCCTTTGCAACTATCCTCTTTATAAACACATCACCTGAACTATACCCAATTTCCTACGTATTGAAATAAAACAATCAGCGCATACAAATTACGACGGAATTTGAGCTTAAAAGAGCAGATTTTAAGACCTACCTGCAAGATAGGAGGCGCCCTGAATATTACAATATCTGAAACTTCGGGTTCTCTAAAGAAATATGAAACCTGTTCGTAGTAAAAAAGAGAAGCAAATTAATCATACAATCTTGATTTCAAAGTCTAAGAAGGTGAATTTACCTTCTCGGCCAAAATACGGTCGCCAATATCCAGGGTAGGGAACATAGAAGATGACGGAATTGACCTTGGCTCAGCTAAGAACGACCGGAAAAGTATACTAACAGTTACTGCAGTAAACGCGGCCTTGGCATCTTCAGAGCAATTATTTAAAATCCTTGAAATCCAGCAGCTTCTAACAAAAGTTTTGGTATCCAACTCCAACCTCAAATTTCGATCTTCGCTTGTTCCTCCTGTATCCACCTCGGTACTCTCCGATTCGACGGGAGGAGCAGGTTCATTACGCGGCAGCCACTTCGAACCCTGCCAGAAAGGGAGAATCGAGGCGGTTTTAAAAGGCAAAATTCCCATAGGGGTAGTCGTGGAACAAGAACCGTAACCCGTTGACTTCATCAGAGAGATCAAACCAGCAATAACGGGGTTGTTGCAACCGTCGTTGAGGATCTCAGCAGCGAGGGTCGAGCATAAGCTCGGCCTCGGGCGGCGGAGATCGGCTGCGGCGGAGGCGTGGTAGGCACGGGGAGGGGAAGGTTCAACGTCGGACTTCTGTTTGGGGGAAAGAAAGCGGGAGCGGAGCCAGCACTCATGGACTGATCGGGAGGAGCAAGACCCGAGACGAGAGCCAGCGGTGGAGGCCAGGTTCTGGGCGACGTAGCCGGAGAAACTGACGGTGACGCGTATCGCCATGTTGATGAATTGTATTAGGTAGAAAAAGAAGTGGTACAGATTGGGTTCGGAAACTAAGGGGGTTGATCTTAGAAACCCTAAAAGAAAATGAAAGCCATTTTCGAGGATGAGATCAGTGAAGCAGGGCCGAGAACGAGGAATTGAAGATTTGCGCTAGGCCAAGCGGAGAAAAAAGGAGGCGCTCCTGAAATTGCCTAGCGAAGCTGGACGTGTTATCGGGCGAGCTGGTCGAGAGTCCTGAGCTCTGTCTGCTCAGGTTCGACGGCGACGGCGGGGCTGCAAGATTTAGAATGTCTGGGAGAGGAAGAAAATTCAAGAACGTCTTAAATTGGAGACGTTAGGGGTTTATAACAGACGGCGGCTATGTTTTACACTCCAATAGTGGACTTAGTTTTCCCCCATATTTACGCAATTGCCCGATTGATCACCTTCTCTCCAATTTCTTTAATTTTTTTTCGTTAACAATTTTGAAAGTTGAAACTCAATTTTAGGTTTGGCTTGTTACATAACTCCATGTCTGAATTCCATAAATTTCTTATTATTTTAAATTATATATATACGAAGTATTTTTAAATTGATGATATTGATATCGTATATCATAAATTAATCACGTTGTAATATATGATGGTTGATGATATAATTATTTGAATAATTATTATTATATTAATGATTTGATTAATTGTTAAGATATCACATTGATACATATATTATTATTTAGAGGATTTTTATAAGTTTTTTTTATTAATATGAGGTAAGTATATTTCTAAAGGTTGATTTGATATCAGTACGACTGATCAAGATGAAATATTCACTGCTTTGAACTATCGAATTAGATTTGGATATATGATTTACGTTCGTAGATAGCTTTTTACGTCGCTCGATTTTGGTTTGCGGTTTGTTGGTGGTCTTTCAACAGCTTGATTTTCTTTTGTGGTTCGTTTGCCGATGCAATCAGATCTGTTTGTATCTATATTTATTCGAGTTTTTTTGTTAGATTTAATCTTTTCTTGTATGGTCCTTATGTGATCTTAAGTTACTAGTTTTGTTTCAATGATTATAGGAAATTTTCTTAATTATGTGTTTAATTTACGATTGTAATTGTAAATCTCTATTGTAATTTGAGATATTTCATATTTTGAATAAAATTAGTTTCTTCTATAAAAAAAATAATATAGGGTAAGTACAAGATAATATATGTTCAAATATAATTCTCAATCTTTCGACATTGAGCGCTCACACCCCTAATATCTATGGTGCTGGAACCCAAATCCTCAAAGAATAACAACAATTCATTTATTCAGACATCTATGGATTTTTATAAAATTATTATATTAATTTAAGATGAAAAAATTATTGAAATATTAATTTTAGAAAAATTATCAATTCAAACACTAAATAAGTTATCTCTTTTGACGAGACATGAAAACAATTCTCAATAACAAAAAATAATATCATTCTTCGTTAATATAATATTATATTTCCTCAAAGTAAATATTTTATAAAAAAATCATTTATAATAAATATTCAATAAATTATGATATATAAATTCACTAACGATTAAAAAAAACATTGCAAAAATAGTTTTTTTTTTATGTGCAAAAAAGAATACAAATCCAGATGAAAGAATAAAAATTAAAAATAGGGAATTATTTGGCTGAGGCACTTCGAGGTTGATTGTGTAATTTGCTGTTAGATGGAGGGTATTTTAGTTATTCCAATCACACTTTGTTGACTTTGACTACAACATTTTCTCTCTCTTTATACCAATGAGAAAGGCGCTGCTTCTTGCTACTTTCCTTCCTCGAAACAGATCTCCCATCTTGATCCAGAAAATATAGCAGATCTGTGCAAACATGATATTAACGTAATATCTATTAAAAAATTATCAATTATTTGATATTAATCATCTAAATATTTTATAAATATCATCCTTAAATTTAGAATAAAAAATTATTATTATTTTTTAATTATTAAAATCATTTTATTCATATTTAAATAACGACTGAAATTGCAAAGCAAGAAAAGTAAGGGACTGTTTAGATATATTATCCAAAAATAATTGTTTTAACAAAAAGAAAGGGACTCCGGTTTGAGGTGACGTAAGCGCATACATCATCAACAAATGTCAACCAAATGTATATAAATCGTTTGATCACGTCTTAGTCTAAATCTCTAACCAACGATAATTATTAAGATAAATTATCTATTTAGTCATCCATCTGTTCTTATAATTTTATTTTGGTCGTTAACTATTTCTCGCCACGCCGCTTACGGTAAGAAGATTTTGTACTACGACAACGAAGGCATTCATTTTCTGTCATTTTAGAAAAATTTATATATTAATTAATTTTTTTTTCATGAATATAAATTATATATCGTTAATAAAAATATATAAATATCTAAAATGTATATGTTCACATAAAAATTTAAAGAAGTAAAATACTATAATTATGTCTAAATTTTTATTTTTGGAGATTAAAATCCATGGACTCACATAATAAACATAGACATTTAAAATAAAATTATAAATTAAATTAAAAAATATTTAAAAAAATTATCTTTAACTGAAGTTAAATTAAAAATTGAATACTTGAAAACTAAATTGAAGTTTTCAATTCAAAGAAGATGAACAGAAAAAAATATTTTTTATATCTTGAAATTAAAAATAAAAAAAATAAACTTTCATTCATTTAAAAATAAAACAATAAAAAAATAGATGATAACATTTTCTTCCAGTAAATGATGTTTAAGTAATTTTTATATTCAATAGTAATATACACTTTTTTTAAAAAAAAAATCAATTTTCATAACTTATTAGGGTCAAATTACATAGTTTAATATTTATTTCCTAAAAAAGTATATATATTTGATTAATTATATATATATATATATATTAAATTTATTTTTTATTTTTTAATATTTTTAGTGGTATGGCCCCCACTAGTCCCTTAGGGTGCGTTTGGTTCACGGAATGAAAGATTACCAGTGAAAATGTAAGATTACCAGGGAATATGATTACTGGGAATGTTGTATTTTGTGTTTGGTTGGCTTAGTAGGAATGTAAGATTATCGTGTTTGGTTAAAGGAATAAAAAATTATTGGAATATATATTTGACCAAATTGTCCTTATTATATATTCATTTTTTTAACAAGTTGGAAAATATTTATATATTTTCTTTAAAAAATTTAAATTCATAAAATTTATATAATTTTTTTACAAAATTGAAAATATAAAAAGGTTTAATGAAAGGGTAAAATTTTATTTTAACCCCTTAACTTCATATAAAATTTTAATTATAGATTTTTTTTTGTAAATCTAAAATAGTTTAAGGATAAATTTGTAATTTAACATTCGTAGAATTTTTATTATTAAATGATAGAAAAATGATATTCAAAAAAAATTAAGGGCATTTTAGTCCAAAACGCTGGGAATCCAACAATACCTAAGGAAATGGAGGTAATGACATTCCCGGTAATATACCCCAAAAAATCCACTATTGGTAATCTTACATTACCGGCAATGAGATTCCCGGGCTAGCCAAACGGGGGAATGTGGATTCCATTCCCATGGGAATCCCACATTCCCCCATCCAAACACCCCCTTAAGGGTCCGATCGTTGTCCATTACCTCTGTCGATACAAGATAAAAGAACTGATAAGGATCCACCAAAAAAAATTAGTCAATTGACCCAGAGTTACCGATAGATATTCCACACTAGGATTTAAATAGCGTTCGCGATCGTATTTTCGGTCGCATCAGATTTATTACGGTTGCGGACATAACGGATGTTATCGTGGTCACTACAGGTGTCGATGTCGTGATTTTTTTTAAATTTAACACAATTTATCCTAAAACATAATAATTATAATTATAATGTTAAGGAGTGACCAAAATAGTAGCAATCTGAAAGTTTAATGAGTAAATTGAAAAATTTTAAAGTTCAGTGAGTAAAATAAGAGAGATAAGAAAGTTAAGTGATGATTTATGTAGTTTACAATAATTAAAAAGAATAGAAAATGGGAGTAACAGAGTAAGAGTTGAACGGCTTTTTTCCTCTTCTCACTTCTCAGGTTTCTTACTCTTCTCAGCAGGGGTTTCATTTTTCTCCGATTTTTGACTCCTCGTCTCCTCCCTTATTTCCTCTTTGGCCTCCACTCTTTAATCATTTATTTTTCCACTATTGAAGTTTGGTCGATTGAATACATCTCTTTCTCTTTGGCCTCCCATTGTTTCTGCTTGTTTTTTTTTCTTTTTTTAAAGACTGTTTCATAACGGGGATAACGTTCAGTTATCGATGCTATTTATCGTTAAATGCTAAATAGCGACTGTGACAGACCGCTATTATCATGATTCTGCTACCCACCGTGATTTTCATGAATATCGATTTCGAACAATTACACTTACTTGTCCATGATTCATGTGAGTTCTAATAAAAAGGCTTCAATTGGATCCTTGGTTGGCTTGGCCTTCTCCATTGGTGCGTTTGGAGTATAGTGAACAATGGTCAAACTTTGGGATGTGTATGGGTCGGGTTGGGTCAGATTTTTGGTCCACCCGATCTGCCCCGAGAACAATGATCCCTCTACCCGAGATCTGACCTGACCCAAAATAATAATAAAAATATTATTTTTATTTAATAAAAACAGTAATTTAATTAAAAAAATAATATATAGAAGGATATTATTGTAATTATTTCTAAATATATAAGGTAAAATTATATTTTTTTCGGGTCGAGTTGGGTATTTTTCACCCTAAACCCGAAACCGACCCAAACATCACATTAAAAAACCCGAACCCAATTTTTTTTCTTTTAAAAAAAACCTGACCGATCGGGTCATATTCGGGTCCTATACCCCTCCCTATTCTAACTTGAAATTCTTCAAACCCAAAAAAGCAGATACGGAACCGCTAGAAGAGGCTTTTCGTTATTGCAATGTCAGCCACGAAACATGTTATATTACACTCCAATTCCTGAACCAATCTGCCTATTGCAGCGTAAGCAAACAACATTGTTAGAAGAGAACCTGTACATGCTCGCTTTCCTCCTCCCATAATGACATTGTCTTCTGCAAATCCAAAGGGTCCTATTTCTCATCCACAAACCTCTCTGCCTTCTATTTGTCGAGATTTCCTTTTAAAGCCTCGTGTCGATTAAAAATCGACATTTTTGTAAAAACGTTCATCTCGAATAATTTGGAACCCGAATTTAAAAATAATAAAATCAGTTCATGTAGTTGCCACCAATCTTTGTTTAGTGTGTGATTAGGCACCCAAAACATATTTGTCATCTTAATAAAATATTAATTTTAATTAAAACAACAATTTTACGGTCTGCA